CCATTCATTGTAACAATTGATTGATTAGAAATAGTTATATGCCTTTTTAAGTTACTATGTCCTTATGTGACAAGACTTTTGTCAATGACTGTATAATATATATGTAATATGTGTGAATAAATAGTAAAATGAGGGGGCATTCTGATTAGCCTCTCTTTGTGCTAAGTAAACCTACGTGATTTCTCTGTATGTGGGACAAACAAACACACCTTGGGGTCCCACTTAAGATTCACCTAATTTGTGGCTACATCCCATAACTTTTATTTCTGCTACCGTCCATTACAATCTTTCCATCACAAAGGGGTTTTCCAAATTTTAAATGTTTAAGTGCTATCCAAATACCTTAGGGTTACCTCCCTGAATTGAGTTTTGCTGGGTTGGATGTCTGAATTTGTACCAGCTTCCAAAAAGATATGAATGAGCCAGATAAGTTGACATGCTATGTTGAGCATACCACCAATGTCTTGTTAATGCTGTTTTTACATTCTATGAGATTTATAGCAGAGCACTAATGGCATCTCTGCTATAATTTTCAATAAATTGAAAATGTTTACCTGCACTGTGTCTTTGAGCTTTCTTTTGCGTAGGCAGAATACAGGCTGTCGTTCACCACTCAAGAAAGCCTTGGACTCCTCTGTCCAGTGAGCAAAAAGCTTGCCGATTGTTTTGTATCAACTTTTAATTACCTTTGTGCCCCACCACTCTTATTATTTTTTGTCATGTATTTCTATTGACCAATTGCACTGTTTTAGATTAATATTCTATATTCCATATGCTGACCTCCCCTCTCCTGCAACCTGTACTACAAAATTTCTTTATTTTTGCCAGCAAGAGAGAAAGAAAGAAAGAATGAAAGAAAAAGAAAGACTTTGACTTTTAACCACCTTTATTTATACACCATTAGAAACACAAGCTGAATGTAATCTGGTTAAAAGACAGGCCGAACCCTCTCAGAGCTCGACTCAGGAGCTGAAAGAGTGGAAGCATTCTGGAACAATCAGAAAAAGCGTGGAACACAGTATCAACATTGTGACAGAAAACACAAAGTGGAGTAACATCAGGGTTGAATTTCGACACAAACGCTTTGGTACCCAACACACAGTGCAGGATCCTCCACTGCAGGTCTCCTGAGCGCTTGGGTAGGGGAGCTTTATAAAAAAAAAAGTCTCCATGAAGGCTGTAGACCCTCAGGAATAGAGAGGTGAAACCTCCACCTGGTATCAGGCCTACCTCTCAACTCATAAGAACCCAAGGATCTCAAAAAGAAAGAAAGAAAGAAATGGAGACAGAGAGACTGAGCAGGCATCCTGATTGGTCTCTCTATGGGCCAAGTAAGCCTACATGATTCTCTGTAGGCAAGACAAACACACGCCATAGCTTAACCTCCTGAGACCCTACATCCTCCTATAAGGACATCATTTTTCTTTAAAACTACTAATTGTTCAAAAAAAAATTATGTTTGGTTTTTATGATTATGAGGTCCTACTAATCCCAAATAGCTAAAGGAAATAAAACATGCACACCAAACAAAAGCCCGGGACTCAGGAGGTTAAAACTTACATAATGTACTACATGCTTGTTGTAAAAATGTAAATATATAATATTTACTTCTAACTTAAGTCCGGTCTTTTCACTCCACTGCCCTGGATTGATCCTATTTGCAAGATCCCTGTCAATTGTAGACAAAGACATACAAATCTAAACAAAACAGAAAATTAAATTTTAAAGCTTTCTGAAGGATGGTCATAAGAACGTGACCATCCCAGAACAAGAAAACCAACAAAACAATCAAGCATCTTACCTAACTTTTGCTTTCTAGAGGCCAGTCAAAAGAATAATCTCAGGGTCAGAACATGACCTTATGCATGCATTAGGCAAATACATGCAACACGCTGGAACTTCTGTGAGATTGGTCATAAGAATGTGAACATCTCAGAACACAAATTATTTTTTTCATTATTGTAACCTAAACAGAGCTGTGTATCTTTGAGCACCAAATCCACCTGGTGCCTGGAAACATTTAGAATCTAGGAAGAGAATCTTTCTCTGCATTGGCTTCAGAACCTGAAGATGATTTTCATTCAATGTTGAGTGAACACTACAGTAACTTTAAGAACAAAGGTAAACTAGACTAATTAACGTGGAATGCCCAAAGAAATCTAAAAAACTGTAGAAAAACATTATGGTGAAGTTAAGTTAAATATTAATGTAAAGTTAACCCTCCTTACACACAACTGGAAGAACCCTGGCGTCCACAAAGGAATCATGATTGAGTGTCATTGGTGTAAGCATCATTCTAATGCAGTAAGGAAATTGACTTTTCTTGCCTAATATATAAAGATATCAAACCATTTAACACATGAATAAATTAGGGTATACTCACAGGAAAACTTCACACTGCATCACAGTTGCTGGGGGGCAGCCAAGTTGGCACAACATACAGATCAGCAATAGGGTTGGATACCTTTCACATTTGAACCGATATCGGTACTGGTACTTGGTGTTCGTTACGATACTCGACGGTACTTCATTTCGATACCTTGCTCTGAATCTGTAATGCCTGGTGTTACGTGCCGTAAGTTTCCAGGGGAAGCCTACAGGTTCTTCGGAAGTCTGCCCCCCTGCCCATTCCTCCACCGCTCCTTCGACTCCGCTCCGGACCTCCCTCCCTCGTCGTCATTCGCCTGCTGCATCTTGGCTCCGCCTTGCTGACCAGACCCCGCCCACGGCTCCTCCAATGCACCGCGTGTCACTTCCTGGTTCCTGAGCAGAAAAGCCGGACAGAAGAGTTAACTCGGGTGCTCTGCTCACTTTTGGATTTGTGTTTGGATTGTTATTGGCTGATACTTCTGTGTATGACTGTTTGGTTTCCCGGTTTCTGACTTTCTGCTTTGCCCTATTGGTACCTTTGCCTTCGGTTTGAACTCTTGCTTAGCCCCTGACTACTCTCTTTGCCTTGCCCTTTTGGACACCGTGTTTCGGCCTGTGTGTTTTCTGTATATGTCTGTTAGATGCGTAAGGAGTGACTGCCTTTTTGTTTTTGCGAACGTGGTGTTTACTGTTGTTTTGGTTAGGGAGTTACACTTCGTCTTTGTCATTTTGTTTCCTCTTGCTTTCATAACCTTTAGAATTAGCTTAGTTTGGGACGTGTTCGTTAGCTGTTTTGGTTGTTATTTTGGCGTGGGTCACTCCCGAAGTTTGTTGCACCTTGTGTTTGTAACCGTGTCTGTGAATAAATATAAAAAAATACAAAAAAAGATCACTGTGTTTCCTGTGTTCCCCTTTCCCGTTCCCTGCTTGTCCTGTCTTCCCCTCTTCCTCTCCTCTACCTTTCTGGTGATCCCCAACCCTAAACTGGGGATCGTAACAGAAATTGGGGGCTTGTCCTTTCTTCGCTTTTGCTGCCTTTCTGTCTGCTGTTTTCTCCGTAGTTGGGAGCTTCGTTTTTGTTTTTCGGGTCTGCCTGGTGGATTTTTTTTTGTGTGGGGGGGTAGTGTTGGTATTAGTGATTATGGCCAGGTTCGACCGCGTCACTTTCACCCTTTTCCCCACACTCGAGCAATTCGATAAGTGCCGTAAGGACGATCTGCTAGCGATAGCAGACTTCTTTAATGTGGTTGTCCCCGCTGAAGCTTCTAAGCTGGCGATTAAGCAGGTCCTTTTGGATGAGCTGATTCAGCAGGGAATCCTGCCTGAGGTGGGTGGCTCCGCGAGTGTTGCATCGAGTCCTGTCCATGCATCTGCTGCAGCAGAAGCTGGCGGCGTTGATCTTGGGACGAGTCTCTGCATGGATCTCGGTGGTCCCCGCTCTTCCAGGGAGGAGATCCTGCTTACAATTCGACTAAGGGAACTTGAGCTAGAGATCAAGAGGCAGGAGTACCAGGCACAGCTTCTCCGTCTCACGGCTGTGGAAATAGAGGCTGACAAGGAGGTGGAACTGCGGTGGCTAAGCATGGGCGAACAAAAGCCGGTGCCTCTTCCGCACAGGGTGCCAAAACCAGGTACGTCTCCGAGACGGGTCTGATGCCCCAGACGCTCCTCGAACTTGCCCACGATCTCCCCTGAGTCTTTGAAGAGCTCCCTTTTTCTGCAAACATAAACATTTCTCATAATTATCATGCATTATTTTACCAGTAGAAGAAGTGTGCCAGTAACATCAGTCTCTTATATGTGGTGGTGGTGCTGGCGGTGAAGATGCTGCTGCTGCTGCTCCTGGGGCCCTGTCTTCACTACACCAATCCTCCTCTTCCTCCTTCTCATCCTCCTGAAGTTGCTGCTCTTGGGCAACTTCCCCACGCTTTTTTATATAAAGCATACACAACAAAAAATAAATACCACAGAATAACAATTATGCAACACAACACATAAAGACAAATTAAAGATAACAAACAAACCTTTTTGCTGCTAAGCGTGACCACTTCTTCTTCCACACTGGACCACACAGCCTCATCATGGACCTTGGCTTTAAATCGAGGATCCAGGGCTGTAGCCTCGTTCAAAAACCACATGAGGTCATAATTGCTTTCATACTAACAAGATTAGATTAAAAAATGAGCAGGCATTTCATAATCAGCTAGTTGGAAGCAAAAATGGATGAATAAATAAATAATATTTTACATACTGTAGCGTGAGGAAGGATCTTCACAGACCCTCTCCTTGATCGCTAGAAGCTAGAATCCTCATCCTCCACCATGAAATTCTGCTTAAGCTTGCCAAGGATAGGGAGGATATGGCCTGCAGTAGGATTATTCTCAGATGACTGGTAAAGGACCCTCATGGTTTCTATGAAGTCCTCACACTTCCTGAGATCATCATCATGCGATAGCCTCTGCAATGCAGTCTGCACTCTGAAAAAAAAGAAAGAGCTTATGAAAATATCCTTTGTTTCATCACATGATGATCTTCACTTCATAGACATCATGAGGCACCATAATTCAACCTTCCTGATTTATCACGGTATTTTAAATTCTTAATCTATACCTACCTGTCTCTGTCCAATCCCCTCCACAGCCGTGGGTCCATCACAGCTGCCTGGATGGCAGGGTATTGCTCCACAAAGCGCTCTATCGTTAGAAAGAGGCTGTTCCATCTCGTCCAGACATCCAAGATGAGGGCATGCTCAGGAAGTCCTTTAGAAGATCACAAAAGCAAACATATAACAGCCATTTATTTTCCCCAGTGATGCATAGCAAGAATAATGTAGACATTTGTGGTAAAGCTTAGAAACAATAAACAAAATAACATTATAGAAAAAAACCATTTAACTAATACACTCACCTAAAGGATTATTAGGAACACCATACTAATACGGTGTTTGACCCCCTTTCGCCTTCAGAACTGCCTTAATTCTACG